GCTGACACTAAAACCAGTTACATAAATTGCCCAACATCACATAGGCAGTGAAGAGGTAAAGTCAGAACTCAAATCAAGGTAAATCTAACACCAAATACCATAGTCTTCCAGCCACTTCAACACATGTCAAATATAATGGCTGATCAGAAATCCTAATTCCATTATAAGGGCTGGGAAGCGATTCAAAGCACGGAAAAGACAAATGAGAGTGAAAATAATACTAACATCTTTCACAAATAATCACACATAAAGAACTGCAAATCTTGCCAAAGCATGGTTAAGATGGTAATATTCTTTAAAAGGAAGTCCCCTGAATTCCCAATTTGTATGCCTTTAATATGCTCTAGGAAGGAAATTTTCTTTTCTCCCTGGAATTTTATCAGAAAGAGAACAGAATAGAATGTGAGAAACAACAACCCCACAGATAGTGTGTAATGCCATGCAGCACATATGAAAAAACTGCAGTGCAATTAAGTGTATATGCTTTGATGAGAAAGGAGATATCATTACACCATTTCATTAAAATAAATCCTTTGAAAACAGAAAATTCAAATGATTCCCTAAACCGTTTTTTTCTGGATTCCAATCATGTTTCCTGAAAAAATTGAGCATAATCTGAAGAAATCTCAAAGATTCATTTTGAAGACTAAACCTTATGACAAAATACTGTATTCCAAGCATTTCAGTATGGAATCAAATTGAGAATAAGAATACGCTGCTTTATGGAGACTTGCTCTTTGTGCCAGGGTGTAGTTAAGGAAAAGCTTTTTTTCTCCCTGTTCGAAAGACACAGTGAGAGAGGATGTGTGAGGAGTGGAGTAGAAAGATGTTAGGAACTTGCAGAAACTTCCAAATGAGAGCGAGAACCCTAGATAATTACAAAGTAGGATACACAAAAGAGAACAAATTCCACTACGTCTGAAAGGGTCATATAAAAAATATCTGCTCCTATCAGATTTTTTCATTGTAAGGATATTTCCCCTTAAATCTGTGGGACTACGACTACCATCTCTACATTTATGTCCAAGAACCAACCGAATGCAGATGCAGAACAAGGATCCTGAATTTGGCAACAGGAGAGCTGGACTCCAGACTGGCTCTGCCACTAATCAGTACTATGACTTTAAATTGCCATTTCACTTCTTAGGTCTCAGTATCTCCCTCTATAAAACTAGATGGCTCACCTTGTCTCACACCATATAGGAAAATTAACTCAAAATGTATCAGAGGCCTAAACATAAGTGCTAGAACTGTAACCCTTAGGGAAAAAAGAGAGAAAAACAATCTCTATGATGTTGGGTCAGTAAAGATTTCTTAGATACAACACCAAAAATCAATGAAAGAAATAAGTGATAAATGCCATCAAAACTCTACTTTTTTGCTTTCAAAGACACCATTAAGAAAATGAAAAGGGAAGTGCAGCCTGAGAGAAGATGTTTAAAACCATGTATTAGGTGAAAGACTTATATCCAGAATGAATATACAAAGAAGATACATGAAAAGTTAATAAGCACATACAAAGATGCTCACTGTCATCAGGGAAATGCCAAACAAAAAAACACAGTGAGATACACACTTCAAACACCACATTAGTGTGGCTGTAATCAACAAGACAGACAAAAAATGCTGGCAAAGATGAAGAGAAATAGGAACCCTCAAACATGCTGATGGGAATGCAAAATGGCAGAGTCACTTAGAAAAAGTCTGACAGATTCTTAAAAAGTTCAACATAAAATTACCATATGACCCAGCAACTTCCACTCAAGAAAAATGAAAGCTATTTACATGACGATATCACATGAATGCTAAATGCATTATTCCAAAGAGCCAAAAAGCAGAAACAACCCATGTCCATCAAGTAGTACCCAATAAAAACAAACAATGTGTTGATACAAGCTTCAACATGGATGAGCCTCAGAAAAACATCATGCTAGCAGAAAGGGAAGCCATAGACAGTAATATATTATTACTAATGTGCTGAAAGAAAATAACTTCCAATCTAGAATTCCATATCCAGAGAAAATGTTCTTCAGAAACAAAGGTGAAATAAAGATATACTCAGACAAACCAAAACCAAGAAAGTGAGCCACCCGTAGAGGGGCACTAATTCTCAAGCAGAAGGAATATTATTCTAGATGAATGGTTGGAGATGCATAAAGAGCATTAAAAATGGTAAATCTAAATGACCATTAATTTAATTAATGAACTTCAATGTTTTGTGGGAGCATTTAATTAATAAGCATTAGTGTCTCTTATATTCTGAACACATATACACCTATGCCTACCCAAGAGAAACAAATGCGTATAACCCCAAGAATCTTGCACAAAAATGTTCATGGCAGCTTTATTCATAACGGCACCAAACTGGAAACAACCTAAATGTGTTGAAGTGTGTCCTGGCCAGCTGGAGGTCCTGAACCCATCAGCAGGAGAATGTATAAACAAACTGTGGTATACTTATGCAATGGAATGCTACTTTTTAAAAAAGGAACAAATTGCTTATAAATGCAATTTATCATTGGAAGAATGTTGTGGAAGAATCTTGAGAAGGGTCAGGCAAAAGAAGCTAGTCAAAAAAAAAGTACATACAGTGTTAAGTCCATTTATATGAAGTTCAGGAACTGACAAAACTAATCTATGATAATAGAAATTGGAATAGTGAATTACCTCTAGGGGCAGGGCAAAGGGGTATGAGGGAACTTTCTGAAATGATATAAGTTCTTTATCTTAGTCTGGGTGGTGGTAACATGGACTGAATACATTATTCAAAATTAATCAGCTGCAGGCCTAAAATCCATCCATTTTGCTGCAGTAAATTATACATCAATAAAGGAAAAAGTTACACACACACCCAAAAAAAAGAAAAACATTATGCCAAGTAAAAGAAACCAAATATGAAGGATAGCCTGTATATGATTATATTCACGACTTAGCAAGAAAAAGCCAATCCATTGAGACAGAAAGCTCTGTGGCTGCCTCAAGTGGGGGTGGGAACAGGGAGTGAGCAAATGGACATGAGACATCTTTCTGGAATGATGGAAATGTTCTAAAATTGGGCTGTGATGAAGACTGAACAACTGGAAATCTACTAAAAAAAAATCATAGAATTGTACATACACTTAAAACAGGTGGATTTTATGGTATATAATACCTCAATAAAACTGTTTGTAAAATGAAAAAATACTGTGCTAAGTGAAAGAAGCTAAACACAAAAGACCATGTTATATAATCCCATTTATACTAAATGTCCAGAAAAGGCCAATCTATAGAGACAAAAAGTGGATTTGTGGTTGCCTGGGGCTGGGGGTGGGAATGGGGATTAACTGTAAGGGGGCACAAGGGATCTCACTGGGTAATGACTATTCTAAAACTCGATTATGCTGGTGCACAACACAGTAAATTTACAAAAAAAAAAATCAATGAATTTTATACTTAAAAGTGGGTGAATGTTAAGTTACACCTCAGTAAAGTTACTTCAAAAAATAAGGTGGTTAACCTTTATGGATGGGCCACTGTAAGGGTGAGACGAAGGCCTGCCCTACCGAGGGCTGAGACCCCTCATGCCCACTCACAGACACCCAGCTGGCCTGAGGATGCCCAGTCAGTAAGTCTCCAGACCTCCAGAACTCTATGCCACCTTAACAGTAAAGGCATTAACGACACATCCACCCTCCTCTTCTTCCTAGAATGTTTTTGTCATTGCAAAACAATGACAGGGACCCACTTTCTTTACTTTTCAGACATCATTTTGGAATCTCCCACTTAATTCCTTTCCTCAGTATGAAACTCTGAGGGACCCATAGGCAATCAATAAAGATAGAAACCTAGCAGCAGCTGTCTTTAGAACCAACCGGTACACGGTAAAGAACCAGCATGTCACCAGGACACAGGCCCATGAATTGCCTTAAAGAAAAAGATGATGTGATCTCTTTCGGATAAAACTTAGCCCACATTTGTTCTGAAACAAGGGCAAAGTAAAGTGGGGGAAAAAAGTGACAAAGTTTCTCTAAAACACAGACACTGTGCAATAAACACTCACACCCCCAAGGCAACTAAGGAGTTTTCAACCAGTCTTTGTTATAAAACTAATTTTAGGACAGGATGCTGATGCAGCAAAGTAGACAATCTCCTTCCTCCAATAACGGAGGGGTCTGCTCCTGTTAAGTGGAACTGAGCTTCCGTTTAGCTAAACCCACCCCTTTTGATTTATAAAGTGGCTGGATTATTGCTGTCCAACAAATGCTCCTCTCATCCTAAACCCCACCCTTCCCTATCACTGTGCCACTCGAGAACTACAATCCACACTTGTGCAGGTTTTGGTCTTGCCACTGGTATACCTGGGTCCCCTTCGAATACACTCCACACACAGCAGCCAAATCCATTGGACCACGTCACGTCCCTACTTGAGGACCTCCAATAACACTTAAAATTAAATGCCAAAATCCTCACCGGGCCCAGAAGACCCGTAAGATCCGGCCCCTCTCACCTACCCATCCTCGCCAGTCTTCCTTCAGGTCCTAAAACACTCCAATCTCCTTCCCTCCTCAGGGCCTCCGCATTTCCTCATCCCTCAGCAGGGAAAAGCCTCCCCTAGAGTCTCAGGATCCCTTCTCGTCCCTTCAGTGCACAACCGTAAAGTAGGCGCCTCAGAGAAGGAATTTTCCTTTAAGTTACCCTCACTGGGTCTCCAAATTACCCTATCCGAACATTTTGTTACTCCCTTCCCGGCACTAGCCAAAACCTGCCCTCCCTTCCTCTGTGGCCTGCTTCTCCAGTGCCCCTGACCAGAAGCCTCCCTGCCGTGCGCGGCGCGGACCCGCAGCTGCGCCAGACACCCGCAGGCGGCGCGCCGCCCCGCAAGCACTGAAAGCTGGCCCGCGCCCGACCCCGCTCCCAGGGGCGTCGGTCCCCGCGCAGACCCGTCCCGAGCCCTCGAACCCCGACCCCACCACCCCCGCGCCCCGCCGCCCGCGGCCTCCCCTCGCACGCGCCAGGCTCACCGATCACCTCCTGCAGTTCGTAGTCGTCCCGGTTGATGGACCAGGGCAACGCGCTCGAGTCCTCTGACATGACGGCGGCTCCGCGCGCAGTGCTCCTTCAAAGTGCTGCCCGAGCCCAGCTCGCGCGCCTCTCCCCGCCCCCAACCGCCGCGCCCCCAACAGCCTGGGAGCAACCGCGGGCTGCACGGCACCTGGGCCCGGGGTTACCGCGCGGCGGGCGGCAACAGCTCTACACTGAAACCGGTCTCACTTCTGATCCTCCGCTCCCGGCACCGCCCGACCCGGCCTCGGCCTCGGCCTCAGCGGCAGCAGCAACAAAACCTTCGCCTCAGCCCGGCCCCTCCGTCCCGCCCTCCGCTAATCCCCACACACCGGCCAAACTTTCCCTTCTCCCTCCACCTGCCGGCACGCAGCGCGCTGACGTCAACGCGCCGACCCGACCCGACCCTGGCCCGCCTCCGGCCGCCATCCCAGGTGTGGCTGGAAAAGCACCGAGTAGGCAGAAAGCCCGAAAAAGTGGAAATAGGCAGTGGAGGGGAATAAGTACTTAGAAGGAGTTCAGCGCGGGCATAGGAAAATCACAGAAGATCTTAAAGCAGTAAGGGGCGGTAGCCACACTTAGCATGGCGACTAAAAGGCGGCAGAGCGGAGGGGGCGGAGCCACGTCTTGTTGGGGAAGGAGGCACGTTGCCCTCCTCGTCGTCGCACTCATTGGTTTCTTTGAGGAGTCAGAACGGCAATGGATGTACGTGATGTCAGTCATTAGCAAGTCCCGCTTCCGTGCTCTCGTTGTTTCTCGGGGCCAGGGCCCAGGTCTCTCATAGATCGCTAGCACCCTGCCTCCGGCGTGACGTCATGGCGTGGGCGGCTCCCTGGTGTGGGAGGTGGCTGCGCGGGCGGGCGGCCTTGGGTCGCCGACCGCCGCCCTGAGATGGAAGGCCTCGGGCTGATGGACTGGTAGGAACCGGAAGCTTGCCCGCGACCATGCTGTGTCTGGCTAAAGTCTTTCCGGCGGCCTCCTTTGGGCTCCTCTGCGCAGCAGGAATTCGATTCCTTTTCTGCCTAGGGCCCAGAGGCCAATGGAGCGCCTCGCGAAGTCGGCCTTTAAGCGCGGGAGGTTGGCCCCTGCCCTTTGGGCCTTTTTCGTGTGACTTCTCTCAACTTCAGTTTTCTCGGGAAAAGTAACGAGGCGAAAGCTGGCCGCTTGGTTAAACAGTGTCGGCGTGGACCGGCCAGGTGCGGACTTACTGGTGGGACGACTTTCAGACCTGCGGGGGTCCAAGGGGAAGCCACGCAGGGCCGGTTGCCCGAGGCCTGCCGACCCGGAGCTAAAGCGCAGGCCGAGCTGCGGGAACTGAGCAGCTTCCCCGGGTTGGAGCGGTGGGAGCGCGCACCGTGGAAGACTTGGCCTTTGTCCCAGACCCTGCCAGGTTAACATAACTGCGGCAGGTGGGAACTGAGAGGATAGAATATGCCAGTCCCAGCAAAAGTGCCGAGTTCCCGAGTCTGAAAGCATAGCAGGCCTTGCTGCAGAAACTGGTTTTGGTCATTACTACTGACACACGTTGCCTTTTCCTTCTTTTTGCAGGAAGAAGAGGGATGGGAATCAGATATCAGGAAGGAGCAAAATCTGATGGTAAAGATTAGAGATCTCAAGGTTTGTACCAGTAGAACAATCCATAAACCAGGTATTCTTAAACCGGTTTGTTGGCCTATTTGTGTTTTTTTTTAACCCCCTTGAAATTATGTGTGACTAGTGTATATACTTCAGGGAGAGATTTTAGCCACCTTCCTCCTTCCTCACTTCCTTTTCCGCAGTGAAGAGGAGCTCCTAACCTAATAGTGAAAATTCAAGATGCTAACTGACCCACATTCTTGGTGGGCACAGTCCCTGTGCATTCAACCCACCTGGTCTGCACACAGCTTGATGGATGAGTCGAGCCACACCTGCTCTGTAGATCTGGTCATCTTATTTCCCCTGTCTCTTGGACTTTCACCTTGTGCTTTGATAGATGATCTCATGCTTTTAATGCACAAGGAATAGGTGGCTGTTTGAGGCTAGAAGCCCAAATCTGAACTTCTCAGCTTATGGGGTACCTTCCATGTGAGAGAACTGTTATAAAATAAACACTGACAGTACAGTGGTAAACAGAGTGACTTAGTTCCTGTTTTCATGGGGCATGAAACAAACAGCTAAGAATACATAGATAAGTGATTATGTTACAAGGGTCATGCAGAAAAACACCAGTACACATCTTCCTGGACTCAGGATGAGCTTACATGCTGATAAACCCATCATAAGTGGAAAATAGCACTAAGTCAAAAATTCACTTATACCTACCAGTCATCCTAGCTTAGCCTAGCCTGCCTTAAAACACTGACATTAGCCTACAGTTGGGCAAAATCATCTTAACGCAAAATCCATTTTGTAAGAAAGTGTTGAATATCTTATGTAATTGAATACTGCACTGAAAGTGAAAAACAATCGTTGTAAGTGTACCAGTTGTTAATCCTCATGAGCATGTGGCTGGCTGGGAGCTGGCTCTCTGTCCCAGCCTAGCATGGAGGGAGAAGATTATACCACTTATTGCTAGCCGGAAACATCAAAATGTAAAGTACATTTCTACTGAATGTGTATTGCTTTTGTATTATCCTAAAGTCATAAAATCCTAAGTTGAGCCATCATAAATTGGGGCCCTGTATACTATGATAGAGAATAGTTAGGGAGTTTGGAGAGCACCTCTAGGAGAAAACCGAGAGAAAGCCAGAGTATTTAAACAGTTAAAAAGGGTTTTGGTCACTTTTGAAGCTATTAATAAAGTGACATTTTCATACCTGTTAGGCTGCTGGTCTTTGTTTGTGGCTCTCAGTAATCCTTTGGGGGATAAGGAGAAAAGGGAAGTAAGTGTGATTCTGGAACCTTCGCTCTAATACGAAAATTCCACCACATCCTATGAGGGCTTCTTAAAAGTGTGTATTTTCCTGAGGAGAGGTTTTTCTTCACATTTTCAAAGGAGTCCTTAGCTTAGTTTGGGTTCCTCCCAAAACCAAGCGCTGAAACCAGGACTAAGGTGCAAATAGCTTATTTAATAGTCAACCCCAGTAGACACTGAAGGAGTGGAGAAGTGATGGGGGAAAGGAAGGAGAGTCATTAAGGAGAGGTTCCTGCTGTGGGCTCAGACCACCTGACATACTGGATGCACCTCAGAGTTGTTCCAGGAAGAGTCAAGGAAGCCCACCACTCCTATCCCACTGTAGGGCATTAATGCTTCTGTCCTCTGCCTGGCTCAGTGCAGGGAAAGCGTTCTCCTGAGTCAGAGTGCATTCAGGCAAGAGAGACAGGCAGTCCTCATACACTAGCATGCTCTGAAAGCAACCTCTGGAGTGGGTCCAAAGGGAACATGCAGGTGTAGACAGCATCTCCTTCAGAGTTGAATCCAGAAATTGAGAATCCCTGGACTGAGAAACAAGAGAAAGTACACTAATGCTTTGCCTATTTCTGGTTGCCTTTAAGCAAATTACCTGCTTTGTGCTTTGCTCTTAGCACCCGCAAGGTAGAGGAAAAAGGACTGATTTCAACACCAATGATGATGCCTTGAAGTGGTAATTACAGCTTGAATGATAATTCAAGCTTATAGGCTCCTTTAATGAAAGAGTTTGAGGTCTAGAAGTTAATGTGCACTATGTGAGAAATCTGTATACAGAGAAAAGCACGGTTTTATGTCTCATCATGAACTGATTTTCTCAGCAGTTTATGTCAATTCCAGGACCAACTACAGTATGCTGGAATCTGCCCCCCACATCTGTCCCTTATCATGTCATATGTAGTATAACATCATCTCTTTATGAGGGGGCTTATACCCATACCTCATAGGTGTGCTTCCTGCCCTGTGCCTGGAATAGTGCCCTGCACAGGCATGTGTTCAGCATTGTGTTAAGTAGATGGAGTGTGAGTAGAGGAGACGTGTACAAGCTGGGCATCTGGAACCTGTCAAGAAGCCTATGTCTCAGCAAGCCCAGGAAATGAATGTCCAAGGTGATAAGCGTTCAGAGCTATAAGAAATAGGTGCAGAGGTTATTATAGGAAAAATACCAGTCCATGCAGGTACCATATGCCTAAAAACCTTCATAGGATGTAGCATTATTATGATAGGGAAAAACTGGAAACAACCTATGTGTCCATTAATAGAATATTGGTAATTGCTTGTGTATTTTATGTGGAACATCTCAGTATACATAAGAAACTCATGTGCTGGTGTAATTAATGCTAGCTGAAGTAACAACCCAAAAATCTACCTGGTTTAACATAAAATCCAGTGCATAGGCCCCTGGTCCCTCTCCTCCAAGCAGAGAAACAGGTCTTGCCTCCTTCCATTTTGTGGCTCCACTGTCATCTAGGACCTCCTTGGAGTCCACAGAACTGTCCACGTTCAGCCACGTGGTTAACTGAGGGTGTACCACCAAAGCTGGCCGACACTGGAAGTTGTGTCTGTTACTTCTTAACTGTTGTATTGGTCAGATCCAGATGTCTGACCCCAACCTAAGTCAAGGAACCTGGGACATGGCTTCCTGTGTGCTCAGGAAGAAGAGATGGAATTAGTGAACATCTAGCCAGTCTGCTGAAACTGCCAACTTGGTTGCCTCCAGGCCAGCGCCACTGATTTGTTAAGGATTTGTACATTTTGGATTTTATAAACCTGAATTACACTTTCTCAAAAAATAAGGGAAGTAGTGAATTATGGTTCATCCATACTATGACTTACTGCACTGCAGTTAAAAAGAATGAAGTAGATCTATACATGCTAGAGTGGAATGACTTCTAAGGTAAATAAGAAAGTTGTACATGTTAGATTTCTACACTGACTTAGTTCAAGCTGCTATCACAAACTACTATAGACTGGGTGGCTTAAACAGTGAACTTTTTCTCACAGTTCTGGAGTCTGGGAAGTCCAAGATCAAGGTGCTGGCAGATCTGCTGTCTAGTGAAGGCCTGCTCCCTGTCTTACTGTATTGCAAGGGGCAGAGTGGGAGCAGGCTCTGTGTCTCTGCTCTTAAGGGCACTAAGCCCATTCTTGAGGGCACCACCTCTTAGAGTTATCACATTGGGGGTTAGGGTTTTGACATAGGAATTTGGGGGAGACATATTCAGTCCGTAACATACATGTGTGTAAATATATAGAATAAAGTCTGGGAGATGGATGGCAGTACAATGCACATTTGCTTTATGTGTATTATTTGAACTATAAAGAAAATATTCCCAGGCTAAATTAGGGTAATATAAATTCTTTAAAGCAATTCGTTAAGATCGATTCCACAAAGATACTTTGGGGGCTCATAAATCCCAGGTGCATTAACAATCAAGAAGATACAAATTAAAACTAAAATGAAGATGCCATTTCACTCTCACCCAGTAGGCAAAATTTGAAAGCTAGAGATTACTAAGAGCTGCCCAAGATGAAGAGCAACAGAACTCTCATCGTCTGCTAGTTGGAATGTCACTGATACAACCCCTTTGAAAGCAGGTTGGAATTAACTAGTAAAGGAGAACCAGTGCTTCCACTATAGCCCAGCAACTCTTAAGTATATACCCTAAGTAAACTTTGTACATAGATCCCATTGTGTTATATACATGAATACCTATGTCAGTATGTTTCATAATACCTAAGTAAAGGAAATCAGTCAAAGAGAATGTAAAAATATCCACAGAATGGATACTAACAGCTGTGGAATACCTTACAGCTACCTATAGTAGATGAGTTGCCAAACAGTGGTGATAGACACGAAGTGACAGAATATACATGATATGATTACACTCAAAAATGTCAAAAGTAGGCATGAGCAAATAAACTTCTATATAGAGACCTAAGAAGAGCATGGAAACAAAATCCAGTTTGGTAATAAGCTCTAGGAGAAGGGAGAGGGATGCAACCAGGGCAGGGCACACAGAATTCTGAGAATCGTCCTGCTCTTACTTCCTAACCTGGTGATGGTACACAAGCACTCTTCAAAAGTATATTTCATAATTAAAGGTCAGCTTCTCATCTCAGTCAGTACTGATGTTTTGGGTTTCCCAAAACCTGTGCATCCCTTCTTTCAAACTGAGGGGACTTCCACCACCCTTCAGTCTGGTTTCACCATGCCTCCCTTTGTCCCTTGTTCAGTCTGTCCCTCCTTTCAGGAATGCCACTTTTCTTAACCCAAGCCTTACTGGTCTACCAGGTTCAGCTGGTGACCCACCCACCCCTCCTCTCTGCTTTGAATGTTTTGTCTGAAATTGTCCCAGCCCAGGGCACCTGGCCTGCACTGCCACATACCCGTAATTGTCTCTGGTGAATATTCTGGGTTTCATGTTGCATTGTGGGTCCTGGGAGGAGTGGGAGATAACCATCACTAGAAAGGAAGTAAAGGGCTTTGGGGGGCTAAAAGATTTTTGGGTTTGGTGGGTTTTTTGGGTTTGGGTTTTTTGTTTTGCCCACTTAAAGTGCTGCCAGCATAATGGCAATCTAGACATGAAAGCTGCCTTTCCTTTTTTGGGTAATTTGCAAAAATGTATATACATTTATTTCTCAACCTTAGGCAAGAATCAGATTCTAGGGTAGGTGTAGTTTTATAAAAATATTCAAATATACAGATATCCCTCTGAACTCAGGAATCGAATAGATGCAGCCAAGTGGAATTTAATGCCTAGTAAAGGCAGATAAAT